ACTTAAGTGCCTCACAGAAGCTGGCCTTTGTGGACTGTCCCTTCTCTAGCTCTAGTAATAGAGCCCCGGCTCTTGTTTTGCGGATCCCTTTGATTTTGACTTCTGCCTCTTTRAGATCTACCTTGCTACGGATATTCTTGAGGACTTCCGCGTAGCTATTCCCTTCTGCCGGTTTGATTATAACGGCCTCAGTTTGTCTTTTGGGCCTATTATTCCCTTTCTGGCTAGCTACAATGTTGTTGACTTGTTGTCTCTTCTTTGTGGTTTTAGGCGCTCTTCTCTCGTTCCTTCGTTTGTGTGAGTTTTCTTGGCGTTTTTCGGCAAAACTTTTTGCCACTGGCCGTCCTTTYCGTGTCGTGGTCGCACTGTTTCTCGCGGCTCCACAGGGCTTGTCGCACGCCGCTTCGAGGTTGCTGNCTCGGGGGTCGTKATGCGTCTGCTTAGATGTGCCCGCCTTTTCTCGGTKTCTGCAGTAAGCCAATTTCTGCGATAGCTCTTGATAACGTCGAAGAGTTCGTCTAGCCAATGAGACATGGGTATATGAGTTTGACATACAATCAAGTCAACAATCATCGGAATGGAGGGAAAACGAGCCGAAGCCAAAAAAGAAAAAAAAAAGACACACGCCAAAGTCGCTTACAAAGCAAGGTGATGTTCATGTGTTTTCCAATATTTGTGGTTTGCTGCATCATGAATTTGTTCCAGAGGGGCAGATGGTCAATAAGGAGTTCAACTTGGTCGTAGTGAGGCGTTTGGGTGACAATTGTGGATGAATAATTCATGGATTTTACACGATGAAAATGCACCATCGCATCGAACCACGATTGTGATGGAATTAAAATCTGTAAATTCGTCGAGTATTTTTTTTAATGCTTCCCTCCACTCGTTATTTGGTTTAATTTTCTTTGCCTGGCTGTATGTAAGAGCCAAATCATTAACGAGCGTTAACTAAATCTAGACTCATCTGTGCTCCATAAATTAAATAATTTAGTGTAATGCATCGAATAATGATTTAATGTGCCACTGTTACTCATTATTTAGTGAATGCATTTGAAGCGCCAACATGAGTGCGTGCTCGTTATCGTCGTTGAACAAGTTTGTGTCTTAAGTCTATTGTGTCTATGTTCGTACGCCCGTTTGCTTCGTCGTGATTTCATTTCGGTTTACTATTTGTGTGTAGCTGTGTTACTTATAGCGATTGAGCATTTAAGGGAAATTAAAAAATAACAAAAACAACAACAAAAATTACGGCCTCAAACAATTTTATATATTTAGTTTAGAAATGATTTTTGTTGGTAAAGAGCCAAAGTAGGCATAATTTTAATTTGATAGCTTTGTACAAGCAATTTCGCAAATTATCTTAATCATAAAATTTACCTTTTTATAGTTTTTAATATATTTTTATTGCAATAAGGTTTATTTCCTATAATCCATTACATTTAATTTCATTATTATTGAAGTAATAGGAAAACGTTTGGAAATACTGAACATTTATTTTAGTTTAAATTAGCACTTGTTTGTTCGGTCGTTAGACCGTTATATTGCAAAGTTTCGTAATGGTAATTTTTGACAGATAAAAAATGTACTAGAAGAAAATTACCACTCTGACATCGTAACGAATTTTGGTTCAAACTTTTAAAAGCTAATTTCGAGTGCAGCGGAAAGTTTCATATCATGTAATAAAATTGGGCACGGACTGTCAAAAAAAACATTGTCACGTAATTTCATGAAAATGTCATACGTATTGACCAGTATAAACGGTAAAAAGCCAACCGGAAAGTCTCTGAGCTGACTTTATTTACTTTTGCGATTAAAGGGGTATTCTAGTCTAGGGGCCTGAGTAAAAAAAAAAAATATTTGATATTTATACTATTTTTTTATAATTTCTTTATTTATATTTGAAGAGTACAAAAATTCGTTCTTGAAGTAGAGGCAAAAAAATACCGTGTTCTCTTCGCCATGATTTCTACCCTTGTGATCAACTGAAAAATAAAACAACTCTTGGATGATGGTTACAAGGCTTTTCTCGAATAAAAAACAGTTTTTTTCAAAAACTTCTTTCTCATATAAAAATGTAATATTTTACTATTTTTTTTTTGTTTTTTTTTTTTGTTATAAACATACTCTATTAACAAAGAAATTCTGAAATTTTTGAAAAAAAAAAAATATTTTAAACTCCTCCATTGCGTCGCCAATTCCGTTGATTCTTCGAAAACAAGATGCGCCCACGTTGGCAAGATAACTCTTTACAAAAAAATGAAAATTTCAGTGAAAATTTCGCGATATTCCTTTCAAATAGTCAAAAATTGTATCTCCAAGACCTGTGTAAAATTTTATGAAGAAGATTGAGTAATTCTCGAGAAATATTGCCAACCGACTCCAAAAGCACAGTTTCGAGAAAACCTAGCTAGCTTCGAGCGCACAAGTTCTCAAGGCTTTATCTCCGAAAATATTACTCAAAATTGAGGACAATACTCTAGAGGTGTTGTACAAATAAATAAGATAATAAAAAATCGTTGTTTTTTTTAACCCGTAAACCTATAACCTCAAGCTTGATCTTCATATCTGACATAGAATTCTCTAAAAAAAAAAATATTAAAATCGTATTAAAAGCCGGCTGGTCGGTCGATCGTTACCAAACCATTAAAGATTACAAGTATTCGTTCTATTCATTTTTTATATATTTACTAAAAGTGAATTCTTTGATTTTTACTATATCTGAATTTATTGAACAAAGAACTGCGATAATGCACCATCTCATACTCCATTGGTTATTCGTGATCATTTCGTCACCTTTTCAACTAATATCGTGCCGCAACCGCCGCATTCGCCTGATTTATCTTCGTGTAACTTCTGACTATTCAGCAAATTCACATGGCCACTCCGAGGACACCCTTTTGACTGAATTGAGGATATAAAAACTGAATCGAAAAAGGTTCTGATGGCCATTACGATCTAGGACTTTTCCTAGTGCTATGATGACTGGAAAATTCGTTGGCATAAGTGTATTGCAGGGGGAGGGGATTACTTTGAAGGAGATGAAATGGAAAACATCCTCATTTCATTTGATCATAGTAGTAAGTTATAGTTATCTGTTCTGGTCGATTCCGAGAAACGATCAATGCAATATCAAATGAGTTAAAACCAATTTCATTCGGTAAACATAAAAAGTGACAAACAAATTTTTATAATCCGTGAAAGCTAAACTTCGATTTAAAAATACTTAGCTCAAAATCGATTTTAGACTCACATTTTGTTAAGTAAAGTTATTCTATACGATCCACAAAATATTTTCTACATATGAGTGCGTTGCCGTGACAACTATTTAATTTATATACCGAGTTACTTGCAGGCCTATCATTCATCTTAAATTTAATGCTTCTGATGTTTTTTGTCGCTGAATTAATGGACTTTTACTAGTTTTCACCATATTCCTTATATGGGAAAGGCGTGGTTACCCTTTTTTAATTTTCACTAGATATAAATGCTTTTCTGGTATTCACAAGGTGTGAACTATGGTTAAATCGATATTTCATTGCAAAAAACATGGTCCGTTTTGCGCTTTTGTGATCTTCCACCATTAATTATTATGCTACAAATCGCGACTCCTTTCAACGTCTTCTCCAAATTTGTCTACGTCCGACCTATTTTGTTTTCAAAAGTAAAAAAAAAATCAATCGACTGCCGGCTCATAGACTTATTTAGCAGACCTTCATTACAAATATATTTGTGAGGCGTTAATTGAATTCTCTTTTAGGTTAAGTACTTATCGGTGCACACGATCGTTCCTTTTAATTATCTTCATATAGCTAGTATAACCGTGTTGAGTCTAAATTTTTGAGCCTCTTACGAAAAATCGCTGAATTCTTCTAAATTCTGGGTTATGTTACATTGAGTGATGCACCCACTTATCAACCCAACCACCTTGGATATGTAAGCTTCATTTAATTACATGATATTTTTATGAATTACGGTCAGCAGTTATTTTATTAATAACGTTTAATTTTTATTTCAGGATGTCAAAGCCATTGAACTCCAGCTCGAAGAATATGCCACGCAGTGCCTCAAAGACATATCTGAGTACTTTCTACAATTACACAGTTTTTTACAAAATGAAGAGGCGCGCATATTAGAAGACTTCCATAACCAATGCGTTGAACCGCAAAAGATTATACGCGATGCATTTTCAAAACTCGGCGAAACTCAAAGCATTTTAAATGTGAGTACATAAAAAGGATTGCAAGGATCTCTCATATACTTTTGAAATTATACATAATTTTTTTTTTATTATTATTTTCAATAGAAAATGCGCACGCAATTGGAACAATATCAGCAAAAAGTGCCAACCGATATATATCTCCGACAAGTATTTGACATTTACAATGCACAACTGGAGCAAATCGATTGTCGCGCACAAATTTCGAAGCTCCCCAAAAGTCCTTTCATGTAAGTGAGCTGAGTCGAAACTAAAATAAAGGGTTTATCTAAAAACTTGAATGAAATGAATCCACCGCTTTTAACTCGAAACCTATTTTATTTTCAGTTTTGAGGTTAAACAAGATTTACGTAAGGACTTTTCACAGTTCTATGCCTACCAATACGTTGATCCAAAGATTACCGTTCGCTTGCAACCCATATATGGCGATTTGAAGCATTCCTTTTCCGATCGCAAATCCGATTCGTCCGATCAAATGGATGTGGACTGCTACATCGAGAAGCACAAACGCAAGAATAACGAACGCAATAAGAAGAAAAAACAACAAAAACTGCGCTACGATGACAATGAGGATGCTTCGAATAGCAAAACTTCAGACACTGAATCTCAAGGTCATTTACTGCGCGATAAAGAGTTGGTGCGCATCAGTTATGTAAAGTCACCGGAACATTTCTTCGTGCAAACAAAGCACGCGATTCACCAAATACGCGAACTCTCCAATAAATATGTGAACTTCATGCAAACCGACATAATTCCCAAAGTCATCACTGAGGGTCAATACTACATGACATATCATAACGATGATAAGCAATGGTATCGTGGTATGGTCAAAAAAATCCTAACAAACGATCTGTATAAGGTGTTTTTAGTTGACATTGGCATGCAGATAGAGGTGCCAAAAGGACGGTGCGTTTAAGTTTTTTCCTATTTTTGTAATTTTTGTCATTTTATGTGAGAGGCTTAAAAATCTTCTTTGAAATTCATTTTCCTATAGATTCTGCGAAATTGATAGTAAATCACTTAACATTCCCTTCGCGGCTATACGTTGTGCCATACATGACATAATTCCAGTTGGAAAGTCATGGAACGAAGAAGCCACTAATCTGTTAGTCGAAATTACAAACAATCACTTCGTACGTGTCAGCATTGTAGAACGCATCAAGGAGAATATGCTTTCGGTGGATCTGATTAGAACTTCAGGTGAAGAAGCGATCTCGATTCGGGAATCTTTTTTATATACGGGCCTGGCGCGGGAGATGTCAGGTGCATCAAATATGCCATCGCCTCTTAAGGTAACAAACATTTCAAAATATCACGTCTTCTTGCGTTTACTATGACGCTAAATTAGGAGCGTACTTCTCGTAGTAAAGAAATCAGTTAACGCGCTTTACATGCAAAAAGTTAGAACTGAACCAGCAGACTAACTTTAAATTATCATCAATTTAAGTTAGGTTAGATCGCTGATTTTCGAGATAAAGGCCGCAAGAATCCCACTTTAATAGTTGAAACACCGGTCTTTTATAAAGCCATGAACTCCAAAGTTAGTATTAAGCAAGAAAAAACGTTACTGCGGTAACATGGAACCAATAATACCCCTCACAAATAAAAAAGTGTCCATGCCAAACCAACTTTATTTTGATCGGTCAGTTTGTATGGCAGCTTCAGGACATGGTGGTCCGTTCTAAAAAATTCAATCGAGGATTGTAGGGTTGGTTTGAACTATAGCCGATGTCAAATTTCGTGAAGATATCTCGTCAAATAAGAAGTTTTCCATACGTTCACTTTGTATGACAGCTATATTGTATAGTAGTCCATTCCGAAAAATTAGTTCGGTGATTGTAGCGTTGCTTTGAATGTTCTTGTAACAGCGGAGTTCTATCGAGTTTACAGTCTTAATAGTAAAAAACTTTGTGCCAAACATAAGTGGTACAAAAATCTTCGACGAAACGCCTTGAGACTTTATCTGTCGAGGCGGCTAATACTGATTTCAGTGCTTCTACATAGACCTTATATAATATGCGTACATCCAATTTAGCTCGAGCCTAATGCTAATATTGCTGCTCTGCTTTTCGAGTGAACACTCACCTTTCTGAAGCCGGCTGCACTTCGGGGCTATACAGCTACTGCGAATTCGATGACGAAACCTATACTTGAAAGTCACTTCAGTGGTCTGGTAGCCTGAAACTAAAGTTGTTAGAAAAACTTTATTTTACTTTCCCTATGAACTTCGATTCACCCATAAAAACATAGTGAGCCCCTTCACGGGGCAGAAATCTCCACGAGTACGTTCTTTTCTAATGACTTCACCATCCGTCATAGAACAAAAATCTCTAGAAGTAGGCTCCATAACGCAGTGGTCACCCTGGGATCATCTATGTACCAAGATAGAGCTGCTTTTGCCACATGCTTTTACTGCTTAGTGAATGTAATCTCTCCGAAGGGGTCTTGAATAGATCTGAAAGTAAAGCCCAAATACTCGTTTCAAGCATATCGGAGTATATAGTCGTCATATATATATGTATTAAATATTATATAATGAATATTCTTCTAGAAAATATCTCCCATGGCGCGTACCAATCAAAGGCTACCAAAATATTCGTTTCATAATGGCGATATGTTGGTCGTAAAAGTGACAAATATAGAAAGTCCTCATATGTTCTATGTCATGAAGGTAACTGAAACATTTGCAAAGATTATAAGTGCATAAACATTTGTAAGAAGTGAAATTAAAACGTTTTGATATTCCAGCTCGACGCTATTGAGATGGCGCAGAGATTGAAATCCGACTTAAACTTCCAATACAATCAACCGAATGAGGCATTGCAACCAGTTTTCTTAGCATTACCACAAATGTGCTGTGCTGTGCGCATCGAGGATATATGGCATCGAGCACGAATTGAGGAAATACACGGTGGGGGTATGTAAACCCTGTTTTTCACACCAAGCTTCTTATATGGTGTTAATATTTCATTATATTTGCCTTATAATAATTATGTACTTTTATTTTGGTAGGAAAAATAAGTGTGCACCTCGTGGACGAGGGCTCACAACACGAAGCCAATTGGCGTCAAATTTTTCCACTCATAAATAAATTCCGCGCCCAAAAAGAGTTCACCATTAAATGTGCTTTAGCAGACATTGAACCGCTGCAAGAGAATAGCTATGCTTGGACGTCCGAAGCCATACGCGAATTTAGCCAATTGGCTGCCAATCCCACACTACAAATGGCCATACTGTCCACAAATCAAGCTACAATACGAGTGACATTGCATGTCTGCAAAAAGCATATGGATATAAATATTGGAGCTATGCTCGTCAGCTATGGCCACTGCGTGGCGACTGGTGAGAGTTCTCAAGTCGTAGAAGTCTACAAAACGCCAAAGAAACGTGTGAACTTGTCGAATAATACATTAACAGATGCCATGCAATTCCGTCAAGTCAAGGGCAAAGATGTTACAATGCAGGACGTTAAAGAGACCGCCAATATTGCAGGAGCAGAGGCGAAAAGTGCCAAACCTGTCAAGGTGCTTAAACGCACGTCGGTCAAGGTTGTATATGTCGTAGATCCTGGCGAGTTTTATATACAAATTGCCAGTCTCACAACGGGCATTGCCAAATTTCACAATCAACTGCAGCAAGCACAAAACGAAGATCCATCGAACACAACAAGTTTCTCGTTATGTTCACAAAGCACAAACAACTGGTTTGTTGGTAATCACTGCTTGGTCAATACTAAATATAAAAGTGACCTTACCAAGCAGACGCACACCACGCAGACGTCCAGCCCCAGTGAATGGTATCGCGCTATTATAATCGCAATAAAAGCCGATATCGAAGCTGATTTGTATACCGTATTCCTACGCGATATTGGCGCTACTATTTCAGACATTACCAGTGCACAACTCCGGGTTATAGATCATCAATGGGATCGTGTAACAAATGCCGTGCATCGCTGTCACTTGGCTTGCATTGAGCCAACTGGCGGCACAAATGCTTGGTCACATTCCGCCATCGATTGCTTCAAGCACACCGTCAGCTCTTTTGAGTCGCTTTCGGCCACTTTACAAGGCAAACGTATGACAGGTTCCAATTCATTGCCCATCGTGCTTTGGGGTACAATCACTGAAACCGATGATCCGTTAGCGCCTTGTATAACCAAGCATTCGATAATCAATCGCATATTAGTGAAAGCCGGTCTCGCATATTCCGTACAACGTTTAGATGTAACAGAACAGCTGGATAAATTGTTAGAAATGGAGTTTGCCGAGGGTGAGATTACCATGGAGGAGTGGAATAAAAATTTTATGAGCAATGCCGCCCTTAAAGGTGAGTAAGGTTGAAACATAAGTAAAGTGTACGGTAGAGATCACTCATTGGATAATCGCATTTAAGGGGTTAGGAGTAATCAGAATGTTCAAAAAAAATTTACTTTTTTTTTGCATTTTCGTTAAGTGTAATAACTTAAAAATATTCTCTGAAAATTGCACGTTGATCCGATAATTTGTTTTTGAGTTATTCGACAAATAACAAAGAGAGCTCGGACACTTCAAACCGTTAGTGTGAAACTTTAAACGCGTTTTTCTCAAAACTATGTTTTTTGAACTGGTGACAACTGTAACTCGAAAACCGCTCAGAAGATTTTAATGAAATATATACAGTTTTTAGAATACATAATAAACTCGGGCCTGATTAGAGGATTTTTTTTTCAAAAATTTAGAAAAAAATTTCCAGTTTCCGCCATTTTGTTAATTTTATTATTATTATCTGTTTATAAAACTTATTTTTTTTGCCCGTTTGATTTTAGATGAATCTCAAGTACCTTTTTTTTTTGGAACAGGGTCAACACAAACAACTATATCTATTTTTGGAAATTAAATTAATTTATTTTTTTTTTTAAATTTCGTAACTTCATTCTATAATAATGCCATATTACTACTTTTGTAAAATAACACGACTTAATATTAGCAAAAAAATACCGAAAAAATACCCCTTAACACCTCTACTATATATGAAAACTAACCAAAATCAGTTGCAGCAAAGTTTGTATTATACATGACAACTGGCTTCTGATCATAATAAATTGAATTATTAATCATAATTTTTGTTGTGTAATGTAGTAATTACTGTCATCCTGTCTTGTGGTAGCCATAATGTCAAATTCGATTCAATAGTATTGAGCAGTATATTACTAGTTTTGGATAAAAAAAAATCGTTGGACTTTAAATATTTTGTGAAAACATACTTTTTTTGTCACGAAGTCTCTAACATCTTGAAGGAAACATAGGAAACCTTATAAATTATAAACCGGGTGCACCGGTATGAAGTGAGCACTAAGATAGAAATATGTTGTAGGGAAAATGTTTACCGAAATGTTTGATTTGCTGAAAGCATTCATTTTTTGTTTTCATTTGAAAAAAAAAAGTGCTGCAGTGTCGCATCCAATGCTTGTCGAGGCATATAGTGCTTATACTCTACCAGAAGCAAAAGATGCTTTCAACGGTTCAGAGATAATGATATTGACTTGAGAAATGAAGAACATGGAAGGCCAAAAAAAGTTCGAAGCCGTCGAACTGCAAGCAATATTATATGAAGATGATACTTTGAGTCAAAATGAAATGGCAGTCATGTTAAATGTCGCACAATGAACAATTTCAGACCGTTTGAAAGCTATGCGAAGGATCCTAAAGTGAGAAACATGAGTGCCACATGAATTGAATCAAAGACAAATGAATGATCACAGTTGTGAATTTTACTTCAAAGGCAAGTAATTTTATTACACGACAATGTTCAGCATACAATCAAGTCCTTGGCTGGAAGCTGCTATTCCATGCGCCGTATTTATCAGACCTGGCCCCTTTCGATTATCATTTATTTTAATCGATGGCACACGCAGTGGCTGAGTAGCACTTGGAAACCCACGCAAAAGTTGAAAGTTTGGCTGATTGGTTTGATTCAAAAGTTGAGCATTTCTATTGGCATGGTATGCACAAATTGCCAGAAAGTTGATCAAAATGTGTAACAAGTGTACAAAGTCAATACTTTGCATACATTTTTTTTTCTTCATTCAAAATTAGTATTTTATTTTCACAAAAAACGACTATATATAAATGATCTGCATGACGAGATGAATTGATTCAGCAATGTTTGTCTGTCTGTATATATACGGACAAGTCCCTCAATTTTTGAAACATCGATCTGAACCGATATCGGGCAACCATAGCAGATAGTTGCCATACAAACTGAAGAGCACAAGTTCTTGTATGGATTTAATAAGTTATCCTCACAAGTTTGATTTTTCAAGGATCAATATATTCATATCATAGTCATATTTTACAAACATAAATTATTATACAATCAATCTTTATTCCAGAAATTGATCGCCGTTCACAGCGTCCTGGGAATGCTTTCAGCGCCTTCGATTCTGACAATTCCATGAAAACTGACAATCATGATACCAAACTTACACCTGAAATAGACTTCACCTTGGACCTCGTAGTGGATAGTCAGGCCTGCGGCGAACCCACAGTTTTCACTTCGAAAGCACCAGAGGCTTGGCTGCAATCGAAACCAATTAATAAGTCAATTTTCGCCGCCATACCGACCTATGTGGATTATAAAGCTATTGTCTATTTACACGATGCCTATGATAAGGATCTGTTAAAACATTTACGAGAGATAATAATGAAAACTTATGGTGAATATGAAATGCCAACAACTTCCATACCCAAATATACACCGGGCCAGGCGTGCTTAGTGCGATATCACGTGGATAAACGTCTTTACCGTGGCATCGTACAGAAAAAGAAAAAAGATGATTTTATTGTACAATTCATTGACTATGGTAATGTGGAGTCGGTTAAATTGCATGACTTACTACCATTTGCGCCATTTCCAAAGTTACCACGCATAGCAAACAAATATCGCATCGAGGGTATACGTGCCAAATCCGCCGACGGCGTCTACACGACAGATGTACTCGATATAATACATGTTACAGTTGTTGAAAAACTAGTTTCCATACGTGTGGCAACATCAGAGCTACAAAATCCGATTAAAGCATGCAGTATGCGTGTGGGTAATATGGATGTTGCAGAGTATCTCATCAGCAGTGGACATGTTGAACGAGATATTTTGCCCTCCGATCGGTTTCATAAGAAAACGATGAGAGATAAATTCAAGCCGAGTTATAAAGACTTGAAAGCTATCGCTGATATCGAATCGACTATGGATAACATTGATGAACTTACAAATGAGAACAATGCATTACCCGTCATGGAAGCAGATAAAATGGTGAGTTCACCTATAAAAATTACCTAAATTTAGGGTGAGGAAACATAGACCGTTGCATACAATACTCTATAGCAAACAAGTATAGAAAGTTGGTTGATATATGTGACATAAATCCCTCCAAACGGCTTAAAATTAGAAAGAAAGTCGAAACCAACTAAATCGGGTTGAAAGTCTGCAGGAAAATAATTTTATAGACCAAAATTTTGTATTAGAAAAAACTTTTTCAAAGTTGTAGAATTATTTGCTACGGAGTAAACAAATTTAATTAAAAAGATAAAAAGAAGCCGTATAAAATATCCATATGAAAAAGTAGATAAAATCTCATCAATATTGACTTACGACATGCAAATTGTCAATGAATCATTCATCACTCAAAAGAAGAGGCAAGCTGTTCCTCTGAATATTAAAGAATATTAAAATATTAATCCTTCACATTCCTTCACGGTTTCACATTTATTTATACTTTTCTTTTCTCCTCCTTTTTTACAGTTCCAATTCAAACACATTAAATCCGACTTTTTTGAACTAAATGAGGACAACAAAAGCGATGAAGATGCCGACGATGACGACGATGACGATGACAACGACGATACAGTCAATGATTGTCTCGATCAACTGATATTCAATTTGGACAAAGGCGACAATCACTCGGATAGTGATGATAGTCCTAATGATGAATTAAATAATGCGCTATCACCATTACAGGCAGCGCAAGCAGCACAATTAGCATTGCAACCGCATCAAAAACCAACCCAACACTCCTTCACGCCACCCTGTAAGAAACGCATGTTCGACTCCAATGAGTACAAGCAATTGCATAAACAAATGTTGCTGGAGAATTTGTATGGCAGCGAGAATTTTATAAAAAATGAATTGGCCGCGATGCAATGTGATAACGATGCCGCTGGAGCTGACGGTTCCGGCGTTCTCGCTGCCAGTTGGGGCCTTGGAGAGGACGATGAAGATGCTGCCATTGTTGAGTTAGAACAAAGTTTTGCGTTGAATTATTGGCATACCACTGACGAAAACGAACGCCAAAAGGACAAAAATAAAGAGAAAGAAATGGAAAAAACAAAAGAACTGGAAAATATTAAAGAAATAGAAATGGAAACTCACAACAGCGTTAGTGTTTCCCAGCGTTCAAATCTGGTGAGTTGGGTTTTGGGAATTTTAGTTTTGCACATTTTGTCTATGACTTCATAAGTCTATAAAATAAGTTATACAAAGTCTGTTCCAAAGTAAACAGGACTTAAAAAAAACAGAACAAATAGTTTTTTCCGAAAAATCAATTTATTTTATTCAAAATAGTTTCCTTCTGCTTCAATACAGCTTGCCGGTGTAAGCCTTTTGAATGGCCTCTACGTCTGCATAACGCATCAAGAAAGAATATCAGGTGAATACGAGGAGTGGTTAATGGTTAAAATGTGATTTTTGGTCAAATAATCGGTCACAAGCATCGATCGATGAGAGCAATTTTGGTCGTCAGTCAATTTGTGCGGAACAAAGTAAGCCCAAATGTTCGGTTAAAATGCGATAAATCGATGTTTTGGAGAATTTGAATGATAATTTCGGCTGATTTTTGATGAATTCACGCACAGTTCTCACGACCACTTTGAAAACGTTAAAACCACTCACGCACTCTGCTACGGGAGATATCATCGCCACAAACTCGTTTCATCCATTGAAACGTTTCGGAAAGAGTTTTAACAAATTTTAAAACAAAATTTTATGTTGAGTCTTTATTCAAGAAATTCTTACTGGACAATCGATAAAGATAGCAGATTCTAATCGACATGTGCGCTAGATTCAAAAAGTTCTGTTTACTTTGGAACGTTCCTTGTAGAGATAGCCAGAGAACGTTGGCTTCTCTACTTATAAAACCTCATCTATAAAGTGCTCACAATTTTTTTTTACTAAAAACGCCTTATCTTCTACTGCACCAAAGCTATAACACCCTTCCCAGGTGCATTTATTATAGATATTTATCTTGTTGTAGATCGGTCAGTTTGTATGAGATCATGCAAAAATTTGATGAAGATTCAGAAATAATAATACCCAACGATTACCCTCCTCCCGCCTAACCGACGCGAAGGGCGCAATCCGCGAACGAGCGGAATTAGCCGAGCCATAATAGGCAAGGGAGTTTTAAGCGTGTTCGTTTAACTCGAAATTCGTTTAACTCGAAATTTGTTCTAGAAAATTTTAAAAGTAAAGGTTTAAACTGCCTGGTAGAGCGAGCGGGAATGTTAAAATTAATATCAGACAAGATAAGAAGCATTTCCCTACGACTAGCGAGTGTAGGGAGATTTATAAGTTTTAAACGGTTAGTGTAAGGGGGAAGATTTAAACTGGAATGATTTAAGGCAAAAAGTAAAAATTGTTTTTGAACGGACTCGTATTTTCTCAGAATGAACTAGATAACAAGGGTTCCATACCACGGAAGCATACTCTAATATAGGCCTCACCAAAGATGTAAAAAGAATTTTTGTGGCATGCGGATCTTAAATTTTAACAAAACCAAGAGCACCTGTAGCTTTAAAAACCGTGGAAGATGTGTGAAGATTAAAATTGAGTTTGGGGTCCATAGTTACTCCCAGGTCAACGAATCTGCATACTTGCTCCAACATAAAGTTTTGTATTGCGTATGAAGTAGGGTATACAGATCTACGTGAAAAGCACATCGTTTTACAGTTTTTAAGGTTCAATGGCATGTCATTTCTAACACACCAAGAAACTAGGTTGTTTAAGTCTGTTTGCAACTGACATCTTTCGCTGTTTGAAGTATACGTTTTAAAAAGTTTTACTTCATCAGCATATAATAAATCTTTTGAAAACTTAACAACAGATGATATGTCATTAATAAATAACAAGAACAGAATTGGTCCAAGATGGCTACTTCCTTGAGGAACGCCTGAAGGAACATTGATTATGTCGGAAAGAGTATCGTTAAAT